TGAGCCCACTCCGTTGTTGGGTTCGCTGGAGACATGCTCGGTATTTCCACTTCTTCCTTGCCGATCCACGGCCGAGTGACTGCCATTAAGCTGCAAGCTAGCCTAAATGTTGCATCGTGTGATGATAACGAACACCAATGTGATGTTCTGGTTGTATTGCAGTTGTTATATTTTTGTGTTGTTGTCCTTTTGTTGTGCCTTTCGTGGAGATGTTGGACTGCTGCTCCTCGTTAGCTTCTACTTTTCTGGCAGGATGTTGGGGTACCTGTCGGCTGGAAACATGCTCGCTCGTGGATGCCTCCCGCACCGTCCAATTCGTGCGTGCCCTCGATCGACGCCTGCCCGGTGCGCTTCTGGCCGTTTGATCGGGCATACGTATCCACACATAAACATCACAAATGTTTGGTAGTTTGTACAAATACCCACCAGCCCTTGGCGCAAAGACCAATTGCAACCAAGAAATGCAATCAAAAAGTCAGATGAACCATCTGAAGGAGTTTCTTTTAATCCAAAATTATCTGCGAATAGCGATGTAAATACTATGCTCATGTTGTGCTACTTTACCCTCATTCATTATTGGGTAAGTCCATTAAGGAGCATGAGATGACCGCATGCCCATCAAGGTAACACCAAACTAGATGAACGGTGCAATATGACTCCAAACGGAACAAATCAAAAGTCGGTCACTCCTATGACCTCCTAACTGGTGCGTGGGATGGCCACGTTCTCGTCTCGTCCGCCATCCGCCGCCACCCCCTGGGTGCGGGTTGTTTGGTCCACATGCGCCATGTAAGCTCAATCGTCCTGCTGGTCGCCGCCTTGCCGGGTAAAGGTGTGAGTGTTTGCGTTGTGAGGTGCTTTCACCGACTGCCCTTGTTCAAATACAGAAGGGGTTTGTGAATCCGGGCTCTTTCCGTCGTTAGGCCAACTCCATCGCGCGACCATATCCTGTCCGGCTCCGTCCGTTTGGGGTAAAAGGAACAAAAGAGGCGGCCCAGCGCACGGCCTCAAACGGACAAATGTCCGGATTCCGTCCGTTTTCGACCCATCCCCGGCCCAAACTTGCGCTCGGTTTGGGGTGAAACGGACGTGCGCGGACGACCGCGACGCACGCCCTTGCCCCCCCATGGCCCGCCTGTCGGGGACACTAGCAGTCCCTCCGCTCCCAACGCTTCACCCTCTCTCCCCGCCCCGCCAGCGCCGCCCTATTCTCCGGCCGCCTCCTCACCGCGCAGCCCCCCCGCCGTCCATACCAAACCACGTCTCGACATGGCCGCCACCACGCCCACGCTTTCGCCATAGTTTTGGTCGTCTATCGAGGGAGGTTTGGCCGTCGCCGTCCTTGCCGGTGCCGGAGGGGACACGACTGCCAGCGACGGACCACGGCGGCCGAGGCAGATTCCGATGAGAGCTCCAGAGCGGCCAGTAGCCGACCGGCAACCACCCCTGCTGCGTCGAGGTGATCATCGCGGCCGCTTCGCCACCGCGACTGCAAGGTGTTCGACCTTTTGCCAACAAAGGTATGGACAGTGGAGACGAGTTTTTCTTCCATCACTTCCTTTGTTCATCGACGATTCGTCGTCGGATGATGAAGATCTTGTGGTGGCTGCACTGGTCGTTCACGACCATATTCAACGGCAGCTTCCTCGGTACAGGGGGTCACTCCCTGGCCGTGCTCCCAACCTGAACCGCAACAGGGAGAGAGGCCACGCCCTGCTCTATGCCGATTACTTTGCCAACACCCCGCCGCGAGATGCGTGATTGGCACACTCATTTAAATCTTCAAAATGACTTGGTTGAGCATGTCTGGGATCACATTGGCAACCAATAGATGTATTGGTCCAATTTATGTTCAGTCAAGACAATTTCGATTTGGTTGTAAAATTATTTTATTTAAGACAATTTCAATTGGGTTGTAAAACTATTTTAATTTTCAGACAAATATTTGGGTTGGAAACTAGTTTGACGCAAATTTGGGCATTTTTGGCCCTCACGGACAGGATGGGGCAAATGGATGCGGCCGTGCGCTGGGCGCACGGCCACCGCGTCCCAGGACACGCCCGGACACGACCCCAAACCCTTACCCAAACGGACAGAATCCGGACAAAACGGACGTCCGTTTGGGGTCGCGCGGTGAAGTTGGCCTTAGTCCTGGACGGCGAGCATGTCTTCGGATGCCTATAGTGAAAAACATGGGTGAACAAGACAATGTAATTGGCCTGAGAAGCAACTACCGGTCCCAATTCATGTTGTGTGTAGAAATAATCATGTTTTGGATTGTCTGAGAGCTGAACGTGCCGTGCCATCAAATTCTAGTTGTTATTCTAGTGAAATTCTCGCTCATATGTGCGTGCATGCATGTGTGCAGATTGTATGGCATCATTAAGATTGCTAGCTGACACTCGCTGCAGTTGGACACACT